CTGCCGGCGAGCTCCGGGATCCCCGGACCGGACCTCGCTCCGTGCGCTGCGGACCCCAGGCCGGGAGCGGCCCGGGACAGGAGACCTTTCCCAGCCAGCCAGGGCTCCTCAGCGCTTCTCCGGACACGAACCGTGTTTTCCCGGTCTCCTGAATGTCCCTTCTCCCCTCTTCTGAGCTCGTTGGTGTCCCCTTCCCTCTCGCTTCCGAATGTCCCGCGGTCCCCTGCTCTGCGCTCCAGAGTCCCCCGGTGTCCCCCGTCCCACGCCTCTGGGGCTCTCTGCATCCCCTGCCCCAAATTCCTGTGCCTCGCCACCCTCTGCCCAGTGGTCCCCAGTTCCCCGTGCCCGCTGCTCTGCACCTCGGGGTCCCTGGGTGTTGCCACCAATGCTCTCCCGGGTGCCTGTGTCCCCTGCCTTGTGCTGCCGGGCGCCTCCGTGTCCCAGCCCCTGCGCTTCCGAGTGCCTTCACATCCCCTGTTCCACGCTTCTGGGTCCCGCGGTGTCCCCTCCTTTTCCCTAGGCTCCCGAGTACGCCAGTGTCCTCGCCCTGTCCTGCTCTCCACCTCCCTGCGTGTCCCTGTTCTGCTTCCCGTGTCCCTGGATGTCCCTGCGCTGCTCGCCGTGTCCCTGGATGTCCTCATGCCTTTCGCTCCCAGGTCGCTGCCGGGTCCTGGATGTCCCCGTATCTTTTGCTTCCCGTCCCTGAAGTTCCCTTCTCAGGTCCTGGATGTCCCCACGCCTTTCGCTCCCCGTTCCCTGCCGTGTCCTGGATGTCCCCTGTGCCTTTCACTCCCCGTCCCTGAAGATCCTTTCCCAAGTCCTGGATAACCCCGTGCCTTTCGCTCCCCGTTCCCTGCTGGCTCCTGGATGTCCCTTTTGACTTTCGCTCCCTGTCTCTGAAGTTCCCTTCTCAGTTCCTGGATGTCCCTTTTGCCTTTCGCTCCCAGTTCCCTGCCGGGTCCTGGATGTCCCGCCCGCCTTTCGCTCCCCGTCTCCTGCCGGGTCCTCCGCTCTCCCCTCCCTCTACCCTGCCCTCCCGGGGACCTCAGCGCCCTCTCCGCGTCCTTCCCCCCCGCGTCTGCCGGAGCGCCCGTGCCCGCGGCGTGGGACTCACCCACGCACTCATTGGCCTCCCGGGCCGTCGCTCTCTGCCAGGGCCGGTCGTAGTGGAAGGGCTTGCAGCGATCGCACTCGGGGCCGGCCGTGTTGTGCTTGCAGTCGCACACCAAGCTGTCGTCGCGGTCGCGGACGCAGCG